TGTGGTGATATATTATTTATGATTTATTAAAACTTGCCTGAGGATTCAGATAACTAAGTTAGCCTCACACTATAGAGATCAGGTAGTGGTGATGCACACCTTAAATCACAGGATTTAGGATTAAGACGTAGATGGATCTCTGTTAATTCAAGGCTGCCATGGCCTACAGAATAGTGAAAAGTAACAGAGCTAATGCCTTTGATCCCAGCATGTGGATAAAAGTTTCTGTCCTGCCTGGTCTTGCAGCTATTTAGTCCCAAATAAACACACAGGGGCTTATATTAATTATAAGCTGTTTGTCCATTGGCTTAGGCTTCTTATTGGCTAGTTCTCTCTTAAATTATTAACCCATTTCTATTAATCTGTGCATTTCCAAGTGGTCTTGGCTTACTGAAGTGGAGAACACCCAGGCATCCTATCTTTCTGGTAACTACCTGGCATCTCTCTGACAACTCTTTTTCTGCATTCCTCTTCCCAGCATCTCCTAGTCTGGTAGCCCTACCTATATTTCTTGACTGGCTACATCCTGCCTATCCATTTGCTGAAACATCTTTATTCATCAACCAACAAGAGAAACATATATTCACAGCATACGGCAGGACATCCCCCATCACCAGTACCTGGGATCACATGCCTTTAATCCCAGCATTATGGAGGTATATAAGACAGGAGCAAGGCCTCAGAGCTGATATTCATTCTCCAAACACATTGAGGACAGGAAAATTTTAAAGCCTCAGGATTCTCCAGCCACACTAAGGAGAGACAGAAGTCTGAGGTTTGGAGGAGCCAGGATCACCTTTTAGTCTGAGGTAGAGTGAGAGCTAGTGCCCAGCTGCTTTACTTTTTTGATCTTCAGCTTGAAGCTTGAATCCTAATATCTGTCTCTGGGTCTTTTATTTTTTTTTCATACTACAAAAAACACTGCTTCAAAATATCTCACAATGGATATATTCTTAATAGAACCAAAATAGAAGTAACCCAACTGCTCACACAGAGCAAAATCAATAGGCTGAGGCATAAATTATGTAATATGGTAGTACACAGAAGCAATAATGAGCTGTTAGTTATCAGAGCATGGACGAATCTTAGACACCTGATGAAATGAAGAATTTAGGGACAAGGAAGTATAAACAATATGATTATATTTATATAAGCTTCTCAAACAAGCAAAGCTTGTCTACAGCATTGAGTATCTAAAGTGGTAGCCACTATGAGGAGGATGATTTAGCATGAAAGAACATGAAGTTAAAAGGCTGGTGTCTGATAATCTATTCTATCTCTTAATCTGGGTGATGACTCTGTGTGTGTGTGTGTGTGTGTGTGTGTGTGTGTGTGTGTGTGTGTGTGCGCGCGCGCGTGTGTGCGTGTGTGTGATGCGTGCATATGTATGTGTGCATGGGTGTATACATTCAACCTCTGCTATAAAAATTAGGAATTAAGATGTGTTACAACTGTACATACAAACCTTCACTACTTTCCTCATATATTCAAATTCCAAACAGATCAAGCTTTCAAATATAAAATGTGAATCACAAACAGGCTAAAAAGAAAATGTATAATTCATCTAAAACTTCAGGACAAGGAAAGACTTTGTAAAAGCAACTCCAAATTAACACTCTATAAAATATCAGCAAGCTTGAATATAACAATTGAGACATTTCACAATCTCAAATCTGTATAAAGAAGGCCAGGAAGGAGACATGTAACAGTGCTAACAGTAGCTTTCTTTCCCAGTTTGTAGCTCTTGGTGATAACCATCTTCCTTTTAGCGTGCTTTTATATAAATTCCACAAATTAATGTATTACTTTCAGGGGCAAAAGAAGGCAGGCCTGGAGACTAGGGATTCACTCCTTGTACGTTGTGTCACTCGTGACTCACTTCCTTATCCTGCACCATTGAGCTGATTCCCCTTTGATCCCTGCAAAGCTACAATCCATCGATTAACTCCTAATGCAGGTCTTCTTTAGCATGTGGTCGGTTTTCCTTTCCCTGTAAGCATGTGTGTTTCCCATCCATAAAATCCCTCTCTCATGTAGTTCTGAGGCTACACACACACACACACACACACACACACACACACACACACACAAAGTCCCTCTTTATAATGTCATACAACAGTGGGTGTCACCATCATTTTTCCACCAGCAGCTTATTTGATCACTTTGGGCATTCTGGCTATGCCATGGCTATTCTGTATAACTTGTGTTCCTTTATCAATCTTGAGAGAGTCGACAAACATAAAATTTGTAGGGACCTTAAGATAAGCCAACAAACTAATGATTCCTGTGGAACAAATTCAAGTTCTTGGTTGTGTGGCAATGACTGCATGGCCTTGACATAGCCAGCCTTGTCCTGTAACTCCTCTTCATACTACCTAAGCTGTATCCTCAGACATCCTCTATGCTCTCCCTGCCAAGTCCCACCACTGCAGTTTTATCGTTGGAATTTCTGCCATCTTCCCTCATCTATGTGTTTCCTGTCTGCCCTGGGGGAGATTGCACGCATCATTTCTGCATGGTGATGCAGAATGTCCCCAGAGGGCAGCTGAGTTTACATTTTCCCCATTGGTTTTAAGCATCCTGTGTATCACATACTAAATCTAAATTAGGACTCTTTTCACAGGATATTCAGTCTATTGTATTGGTCCAACTATTCACGCATCAATAACATGCTTTTTTAATTACTAAAGTTTTACATTTTGTTGTAACATCTTAAAAGGGCTACTTCTGTTTTTCTGACTACTTTCTCTCACAAAACTTCAAAATACCATATTTTGAAGTTGAAGAAAAACATTTATTTTTGAGATGATTTCAATACATTATTAATTGTTAATTAAATCAACATAGAGTTGAGATTTTATTTAATGATATAAACTATGTTTCCATACAAAAGTATGACATACCTTTTTATGTATTCTAATTTTCTGTCATAGGTGTAGTTGAACATGTTGTTCGTGCAAATATTTTTTAAAAAATTTAAATAAAATTGATTCCTATAGTTTTATGTTCATTGCTAGTATTAAGTACTATGGGGTTCTTTGCAAATGTGGCAATCTCAGAACCTGTTAATATATAATATTTCATGGCAAAGGGGGCAAGCTGATTATGCTGAATTATTTGGGTGGTCCTACTGTAATCACAGAGGTCCTTAAATGGGTCAGAGAGGTGAAAGCCGTGTAAGTGTAGTATGATATAGCAAAATTCAAGGGGTCACTTTTGGTTTTGAAGATGTAAGAGGACCACAAACCAACAATGTGATATTCACCAGATTTCCATTACCATGAGGGAAAGATATTTATATGAACCACCTTGAAGGAAGAAATGTTTATTTTGGCTCACTCTTACAGAGGTTGCAGTCTATGGTGATTTGTCTCCATGGCTCACTTGGAGACAGCACATCATGGTGGAAGTGTGTGGTGGAGGAAACTGCTTACTTCATGGAGGACAGGAGGAAAGGGACTGTGCTGGTGAGTTTTTATCACCCTAACAGCTATTGTCATCTAGAAAAAGAGAACCTCAGCTGAAGAAGTGCCTCTATCAGATAGGCATGGGGCAGGGGGTACTTTCTCAATTAGCGATTGTTGTGGAAGGGTCCATCCTTCTGTGGGTGTTCCCACCCCTGGGCAGGTGGTCCTGAGAGGTTTATGGAAGGTAGCTGACCAGGACCCTGAAGAACAGGCCAGTAAGCAGCGCTCCTCCATGGCCTCTGCTTCAGTTCCTACCTCCAAGTTCTGGCTTGAGTTCCTGCCCTGACTCCCCTTCATGATAGACTGTAAGATGTAAAATTAACCCTTTCTTCCTCAACTTGCTTTTGGTCTTGGTGTTTACCAAAGCAATAGGAAGCAAGCGAGGGCAAAGAGGATGGTACTAAGGGTCCAAGATCTCCTTCACAGACACAATTAGATCACCCTCACTGTCTAACTTTCTCTCTACCTCCCAAAGATTCAGCCTTCTCCCCATAGCAACCACATTGATTGACCAAGCCAATGACACATTGGCCTTTCAGTGACATTTATCCAGGCGTGACAGGTATGGGTCACCTCTAGAAGCTGGAAAAGTGAGACAATCTTTCTCTCTCTTACAGCCTCCATGAAGCACTGCAATCAAGTGACTTCTTAGAAAAAAAAATGTTCAAATGCTGATTTTCTCAGAAAGAACACAGCTGCCTTCAACATCAAATCAAGCCTAACAGATGCACGTAACGTGCACACACTGAGCTATAAAAACCGGCTGTGAGCAATCACAAAGTAATCAGTGTCTTTCCTGAGAAACCATTGTTAGCGCTCGAAGCCAATCAGGGAAGCTCAAACATGATCCCAACAACTGGATCTGTAAAGCCCTGTTTAAACATTTTAATCCATGTTTGCCATGGTCGAGTGGGGGAAATGAGTTGGTCAGATCAAAATCAAAATGAAATGCTGGTTTCTTAGTTCTGTAATAATTATCAGATATTAATAGTTTCCCTTTTCTAAAGAAGAAAGGAAAAGAAGGTTGGACTCATTCTTGGTGAAGCTAAACATCAGCTAGAGAGGTCAACAAGGATTTAAAGAGCCTGACACACTCACACCTGCTGAATAATGGGTGCTGTTGAGAGTGTGACAGCTGCTCCTTTTGAAGAGCCAATGTGAAGCTCTGGGCCCGATGACAAGTAGTAGTTGTGATGGGTAATAACTTAGTAACCATCTAAATGCACATTTTTATGAGACAAGTAACTCTTCTCAGGCGAGTAAAAAGCAGATTAATGAGATGTTCCTGTGGGATTCGATATAAACATTAGAAAGGAAAACACCCCACTCTGTGTCACCACCTGGAAGGAAGGCTATATAAGCACTTCAAAGAAGAACAGCCACAGGCTTGGCATTTAGGATAAGTTGAGGGTGCTTCGGGTAGTGACCACAAACTCTGGAACGACCTGGAGCTGGACACACACTTTGGAGACCAGGGGCTCTACTTCTTCTTCAACTGCACCCCAAAACTGCTCTGGAAATACGAACTTGAGGATGAGCTCTTCTAACAACAGCTGTTGTCATAATAGCCAATCAACTGGCCTTACTCAAAGAACTCCGCAGCGCCCGGGCTGCGGACCCACCCCGTGCCTTTATCGCACCCCTAACTACCTGATAAGACCCTACCACTTCCATCCCTGTCTGGAAGACTGCAGCTGGTGTGGAGAAGGCATTAACAGTCATGAGAAAGAGACCATGCAGACTCTGAATGAACGCCTTGCTAGCTACCTGGAAAAGGTGCGAATGCTGGAAGGGGAGAACTCGGAACTAGAAAATAAAATCCAGGAGGAGCGCAGCAAGGCACTGCCTGTCCTGTGCCCCGACTACCTGTCCTACTACACCACCATTGAGGAGCTGCAGCAGAAGGTAAGAACGTCAAAGTGCTGGGTCAAACTGTGGGTTATCTGTTACATTTTAGTCTTTCTAGATCCCTCTATGCTGGTATGTTCTTAAGAATAAAAAGAGAAGCTAGCTGTTGTGGGACACGCTTTAAGGCCAGCACTTGGGAGGCAGAAGCAGATAAATCTCTGAGTTCCAGATCTACAAAATGTGTTCCAGAACAGTCTGCGGTTCAAAGGGAAACCCTATCTGGAAAAACAAAAATAAATAAGGAAAGAAGGAGGGAGCAAGCAGTTGAGGGAGGGGGATAGGAAGGGAGGAAAGGAGGGAGGGAAGGAGACAGAGGGAGAGAGGGAGAGAGGAAGGGAGAGAGAGGGAGATAAACCCCTTGAGTGAAATTCATCTTGAGATAATACACACAAAGTTTTCTATATATTTTTATTTATTGTGTGTTCTGCCATTTTTTAAACAAATAACTCGGGATTAAAAGCTAATGAGTTGCTACCGCATCTTAAATAAAAATAAGAGAACGGGGCTCTGAAAAGCTTTTTTGTTTTTTAAAGTCTCCAAGTAGTTTTAGCTTTAACCTGTGGTATTAACTACTAGGACATTTAATGCCCATGATGTCATCTTCACAGTATTTAAATAGTGTGTCTTTATAACAAATTTCAGTTTCCTGTCCAGTGATTGTTGCTACATAACTGGGATTACTTAATTTTTGGTTTTTTCAACAAATATTTACTGAACACCAAAAATAATGTTGTAGCCACCATTCTGGGCTTTGAGAAAAAAAATGCCTGGACTCAAGAATTTGCATTCTATTATGTCACAGTAAACTGGGGGAAATTAGAAAAGAAACTATATTTTAATAGAAAAGCATACACAAAGTTTTTTATTTACATGGTTTTTAGCTAATCTCAGAAAAATAACAAGAACTCTGATTCCCCAATGCTTCCCACATTTCTTAAGCATCTCTCTGAAGATTCAGGAAAATTCTAGCTAGTCTTCTGCTAAATGGAACACACGGCCCTTTGGTTCTTAAAATAGGGGATCCTGGTGTTTGTCTCATTTGTGTGTTCAATCTCTTAATTCTAGATCTTGTGTACCAAGGCTGAGAATTCCAGACTGGTCTCACAAATTGACAACACCAAACTGGCTGCAGATGACTTAAGAGCCAAGTAAGCCTGCCCAGCACTGTCCCCGGTGATAGGATTCACCCCGGGTCTGACTTAAACATTCCCAGTGAGATGGTCCCCACATCCACTAACCATAGCTTATCAACACTAATCCAGAAAAGACCTTCAAATTCATTGTGCTTGAGATTAATAGCCGGAACACTGCACATAGCACCTGCAGCGATGACACACAGACCTATAGGATTACCTGCAGTGAGAACAGGACCAATATCTTGTAACCTTGCTCCAGGCAAGAAAACTCAAACAAAAGTTTGCAATATGAGACAGAGCTAAAAATGCAGACCCAGGCTTTCTTACACTGCATTGCCTTGGGAGCAAAGGAAGGAAAATAAATTCCCTCATCTCAAAAGACAGCAAGGTGGCATCACTCTGGCAGGCTAAATCATGATATGGATCAAATTATTTCATGTCTACAAAGAATAGAAACACTCAGTGAGCATCCCAGAGGAGAATGAAGCTGGAGGATCTGCCTAGCTTGCTTTATACATCTACTTTCTAATGCCTGCCTTTTTCCTTTCTGGCTTTTAAGCTATGAAGCTGAGTTATCTCTACGCCAGCTAGTGGAAGCCGATGCCAATGGCCTGAAGCAGATTTTGGATGTGCTGACTCTGAGCAAGGCTGACCTGGAGGCACGAGTCCAGTCTCTGACAGAGGAACTTCTGTGCCTCAAAACCAACCATGAAGAGGTGAGAAAGGGCCAAGAATAAGCACAAGCTGAACCCATAAAATTAGCATCAGTTCCTCTGCGTTGTACATAACAAAGTGTATCCCCACTAGACATTGCCTCATCCGTCAACCCTACTATAGTATATTATATCTATTGCCACAGGGTAGAATAGTCTCCATCCTCCCAATTTTCTCATCTTCACTGGTTTTTGTAGAAATCCTTGAACAGACTTCTGCCACCTCCTATTGGAAAAAGCCAATTCTAGCATGAGCCAGTTCTGGTACAAGTTCATATGGACACCATGGAGATGGTATTTCCATACAAAACCCACCCCCATGTTACCGCCTCCAATTTTAATCCCTAGAAATGACCTTAAAGCTTTTGAGATGATGATCTTGTTAGTCAGTTCCTTCTTTCTTGCACATATTTGTGCACGGAGTGATGTCTGAAATCGCCTTCATTGTAGGGTATCTCAATAACACCCATAAATCATGTACCTCTTTGTTGTGGACTGTATTCCAGACCCAATTAAACTTAATTATTTGTCAGATTGAAATGAGAACATGGTAGGGAAGGGTCATTGATTCACTAGATAACTTCACATTCCTTTTCTTTCCATAGGAAATCAGTTCCTTACAGTGCCAACTTGGAGACAGAATCAACATTGAAGTAACAGCTGCCCCTTCCATTGATCTCAATCAAATTCTACAAGAAATGAGATGTCAGTACGAGTCCATTATGGAGACAAACCGTAAAGACATAGAACAATGGTTCAATACACAGGTGGGAAGAACAAACAAGTCAAAACTAATGTGCTGACCTTTCTAGGAGTCCTTCTGTGAGCCATGCTTCCTTACAAAATACCTGGAATTGTTGTGTTTCAGATGGAGGAACTGAATCACCAAGTAGTGACCAGCTCTCAACAACAACAATGCTGCCAGAAGGACATCATTGAACTGAGACGTACCATGAGCTCCCTTGAGGTTGAACTGCAGGCCCAGCACCGAATGGTACCCAGGATGCTAACTATGCCTAACCTTACTCTGGTGGCAACAGTCCCTGTCTGAGTGTCCCACTGTTCCCTAGACTGTGTCCCTGTTGGTTAAAGGGTCTGTGACTAGAAAAGAACTTCATGGTCAAGTAAGTCTTGGAAATGTTGGATACTCTACAAGGTGATAATACACCATGGATCTCCAAAAAAGGAGATGTGCAGTACTCAGCATTCCAAAATGTATATGATTGTGGAAGTTCTTTTCCACCACCACCACCACCCCCAGAGTATGTCATGATGATTATGAGCCATAGAAACAACAGAAGAGAATTTGATTTATTTTTTGCAAAGCATTACTGTAAACTATCATATCGGAATTCTAAACCAAAGTTCTGAAAGAGATGATGAAAACCGTTAACCAACTTTACTGGTGAGGTTCCAAGAATGCACAGGATTTACCCAAGCCACATCCTCACTAAACACTATCTCACCTAGTAATCCGATAGAGAGGAGATCTAAAAGCAGTGAGTGGCCTTCTCAAAGTCCAAAGAAATGTGTGGGGATCAGATCCTTGAGCCAGCACCACCTCTGCTTATTGAGACTGCATCTCTGAAATAAGACAGTACTCAAATGTCCTGTTAGGGGGTGGGGACAGGCATTAGGGAAACCTTGACCCAAATTTCATCACCTGTTAGACATGTGATGTTGAACAACTCATCGAACCTCGTTTTTGCCATCTATAAAAATTGAGATAATTGTGGGAATAACCAGGGTTATTAAAACCTAAAATCCTACCATTATCTGTAGACTTACAAAATGATAGAACAAGAAAGAACTTGACACATTTGACTTTCAACACTCATGTTTTACTTATAAGGGAATTGCCCACTTCCTTTGAAAGACTCAGATGCTGGCTGAACGAGGTGACCTGATATGATTTTAATGCCTGGGCTTCAGTGAAGTGAGACAGATTTTCTCTCTCTCTCTCTCTCATAAGTCAGAGGGTGAGAAATAAAATGGCCATGGAAGGGGTACAGAAATAAACCAGAGAGATAAAAAAGAGAGGGGATAAAAGAGAGCAGAATTGTTATTTGTCTTAGATGTACTTGGTTGGGAAGTAATAAAGGGCTTAGAGAGCCAATAGCACTGTCACAAAGAAACTATTGTTTAAAATGGCTTTAAGAATGGTCTTACAGGAATTTTAAGGGAGACATCACTTGAATTTATTTTCCTCCTCCTCCATAGAGAGATTCCCAGGAATGTATTCTGACAGAGACAGAGGCCCGCTACGCAACCCTGCTGGCCCAGATCCAGGGTCTGATCCATAACCTGGAGGCTCAGGTGGCAGACATCCGGAGTGCCCTGGAAAGACAGAACCAGGAATATGAAGTTCTGCTGGACACCAAGTCCCAGCTGGAGTGTGAGATCACCACCTACCGCAACCTTCTGGAGAGCTTGGATGGCAGGTCTATAAAATTAAAGTGATACGTGTAACCAAGATACACACACACACACAGGGCAGGGGACATCAGAGAACAATGCTCTGATCTTCTTGGCAATGATGGGAAAATCTAGATGGAAATTATCAAATCTTCTCTAAAGACCTGCAAGTGTAACCAAGTCCCAATTTGAGATGTGGGTTGAACTAAACTGCTTTGAAGATGAATTAATTCCTTATAGGTTGCATCCTACTAAGACAGCAGTTCTCAACCTGTTACGACCCCTTGGTTGGGGGGGGGAACTAAACAACCTTTACACAGGGGTGCCCTAAGAACTCCAGAAATATTAAATATTTACTACATTATGATTCATAACAGTAGCAAAATTATAGTTATGAAACAGCAATAAGAAGTTTATGATTAGGGGTCACCACAACATGAGGAACTGTATTAAAGGGTAGCAGCATTAAGAAGGTTAAAAACCCTTGGCCTTAGTTGAACATGGGACTTTGCTGATATGAGAAAGGACAACCACAGTACTCAGGTTCAAACCCCCAACCCTGACTAGATATTACCCCTCATCCCAACAGGAGTGCCCTGATGTATGTGTTTCAGCATCCTTTCTTTTACAAATAAGTTTTATTTTGTTTTGCTTTTTTAATGGTCATAAGCCAACCGACCCACAAAGAACTCAGCTAATCATGAGCATCCAAAGGGCACGTCAACGCTTCCTGGTCATGTGCTAAAGAATCCCCCAGAAGTGGGATTCAGGACACCACTGATTGTATGAAAATTTCCCTTACACAGGAAAATTATCTAACTCATCTCCATTTTCCAGACAGTAAGCCCCGCTCAGGAGAGCTGACTGGTTCATCCAACATTGCCCAGCAAACAAGAGAGCTGGGCCCTGTCCCTGTTTTTACTGCTAGTGTGGTGTGGTTCCCATGGGGCTAGAACTACTTAAAGCAGGAACTACTTCTCAAGCCAGGAGGCTGTCTTCCAACAGATCTGCTCTGATTCTGGTTCTCCTGCTAACCACAGCACAGAATGAATGAATAAGCATTAAGCAGTGCTTATTTTGAGTGACAAGTATTGACAGCTTAGCCACTCCCATCTTCTCCATAGCTAATATTGCCCTTCCTTAATCACAGCTAAAGTTCTGTTGTTCTTATTGTTATTGTTGTTGTTGTCGTTTCTACTTAGGCTTCCCTGTAACCCATGTGCCACCAAATGTGAGCCGTCCTTTCAGGCCAGAGCTGTGGAGTGTTTTACCCCAGTTTATACATCTTCATCATTCCCTGGGACTCACAAGCCCTGCAGTGCCTCTGGACCCCCATCCCGGATACTGGTTAAGATATGCACCATCACCAAGGAGATCAAGGATGGGAAAGTCATTTCTTCTCACGAGCATGTGCAGCCTTGTTACATCACCAGACTCACCAAGGTCTAGCATCCCAAGGTGATGAGAATGACCCACATTCATGAAAGAGAGGCCAGTGTATGCTCCTGCCAGAAAGGTTTAAGAAACCCCAGTCCCTTAAGGTACTTAGTTTCTTGCTGCTACAGTGGGCCCCCATCTTTTATTCTTCTCCTTCCCTAAGTCACTGCTATCAACATGATAAGTCACATTTCTCTGGAAGGACATTTTGCATTATTGCTGGGATGGGAACTGATTTAGCAAGTGCCCACAAAGACATCCTACATTGCTTGCCTAGCCATGTGATGGACAGGCAGGTTTTCCTTTTGTTTACTCAAGCCTTGTTTATCTCTGTGCCTCTGTAGAGCCAGTCAGACAAGTTCTGGAATTGGTTTTGGCAATTGGCACATGAAGATAAAAAGCCACAGCCTTGCCTTCTAGATTCCTTCTTTGGATGTAGCATGAAGCCAACACAGGAACAGAATAAATAAGGAAGACCCAGACGTCTAGTTTCCAGGAATGAAACAATGACAACCCTGGATCCCGCTGACCTTTGCCACCTCAACCATTGTTTATCTGTACTAGTATATACCCCCTTCACCATAAAAATAACTTCGGGGGTGCTGGGGTTTTCCTGCAAGTTCTGTGCTCTTCCCCCACCCTTAGTTTCATGTTTTATTTTTAGGCTGGGTCTTGCTAAATTGCCAACATCGACCTTGAACTCACTCTGTATCCCAGGTGGGACTTCAACTTGTCATTGCCCTGCCTCAGTCTCCTGAATATTATGGAGGATATACTACACCCTCACATGTGGTGCATATCCATCTTCTCTGAAATTTGAGGCACAATGAGGCTCTTCTCCAAGTACCTTTAAGAATCATGACTAGCTGTGTGGGATGACTCTAGAGCTTTCTTTGGAGTCATTTTGAAACAATAGCCTAGGTCCTTTCATTAAATGTTGGCTATTTATCTTTCTATCCCTTAGGGTATGGGACTTTGATCTGCTTGTTTGGCAAGGGGCATAGAGCTGGATTTCTCAAGACAGAAGACCTGATGAGTAACAATGACAAAATAGCTTAGATTCCTGCTTCATTCTGTTCATCAGAAAGAGATGGAATTACCATCCACAAACCTTCCAAAAGAGCATTAGTGGGTAATCTCTGCTTGCCAGCAAGTGGCCACTCCAAATGCCAGCAGCCACCATTCTGCACCAGCCAGTGTCACAACTTTTAGAGCAGGGCCACAGAGAAGGGAAGTCATTCTTTGAAAAAATACTGAAGCTTTTCAGAGGTGTTAGTTTAAAAAAATAATATAAATCAAACGCAAAATGTAGAGTTCAAAGACTCGATGCCCTAAACCTGCCTATTTCCTACCATGATCCTGTGCAGCAGAGCATCCAGCCTTTGTCAAATTGATTCCCTTGTTTATTCAATGAGGACCATGACGACTTCACAGGGCTGTTGTGAAGATCACATAGAACCCTCGTCATACTTGATCACTATGTATGTTCTGCCATTAGCTAAGACCTCGTTTTCTTTCGTCATTATTTCATTTTAAGATTCTTTCTCTGAGTTTCGTTATCTGCCATGATTTGGAAGTGTTAACAATGTTCAGCTGTTGGGGGGAATTTATAAAGAGCATTTCCTGTGATTATACCCACAATTACATTAATAAAGCATTTTTGAATTCTTAAGAGCATGTATCAGATACAGGTTGATGCTCACATCAAAGACACTTGCCTTGCTGAACTCACAGCTCAGTCATGTGCTTCCTTCAGACAAGCAGTGGCTTACACAAAGCAGGCGGAATGCAGAACTCCCAGGAAGAGCTCTTCTATTGCTAATTTCTCGTTGTAATATGCAGAGTAGGTCCTGTTAGCACCTCCCTGCACATAATCTCATAATGCAAGCTGAAAATATGGAAAGAGTAAAGAACTGTTGCTCAGAAACTGTGAGCAGCCTCCACCCAATCTGTGTGTGTGACCTTGAGTAAAAGTGATTTAACAACATTGGTCCTGCCTGGCATATAGGAAAAGGGTTCAGTGACGGAGACCAGGCTCTGTAAATGGCATATAGTACTAAACAGAAATGAGTTCCTAATCCCTAAATTAGACCCTAGGCATGTTTCGTTTCCATCCATGGTGGTTTCCTTTTGGTTTACTCAGTGGTAGGCCAGGCAAACTCTGCCTGGTACATACCACCAACACTAGCTTGAAAACTATTTGGCAAGGGGTGAGAGCTACTTACCTTGCTCTGGGATTTGATTCCATCTGAATCCAGAGTTTAGAAACCTCTATCCTAGTGTATAGTCATCTATCTTTAAACAGAACATGTGCCAGAAATAACATCTTCAAACCTCTCCTCCAAGTAGTGTTTAAAGGTTGCAAATGTCATCATGCTCTTTGTATGGTTTTTTACCAACTAGTTACTGTGGTATCTTACTACAAGCTCCCATGATTCCCATGTAGCAAACAATGGGAAATTGTATCCTATTCTAGGCAGAAATGAGCCTACTTCTTGGCTCTGTTTACCCTAATCTGCTCATCTTGTTTAAAAGTATTTTCATATGAAAAAGCATTTTAAAAGTAAATGTCCTCTCCAAAGTCTGAGTTAATCAGCATCTATAACACAGAGCCCTGGGTTAGCATCATCACAGGCAAGCCTGGAATGTGTTCATTGTTTCAACACTGTAATCAAATGTCTTTTATAGGAAATGAATCCTTCACCTATTTGGCTGGCTGGAAATACCTGGTCAATGTGTTCATGCAGGATTCACAGCTTCATGGGAACTACCCACGCACCCAATCAAATGGGAGCAGCCCTGTTTGGCAACATTGGAAAGGCTTGTTTTAATTGGAATGATCCTTTTAGGTTGAACACCATGCTTGGAGGGTTTTTCTTAGGCAATGCCTTTAAGCCATAGGTTATCATTTCTAGGCACAAAAGAATAACAGAAAATGCCAGTTTTCCAAACATCTCAATAAAATGGCACAGAAGCAAAGTTTCTGACCAAGTTTTCTTTATTGTCTCTTCTCAGACTCTGTCCCCTTTCCTTTCCCCACTCTCCATCTTCTCCACTCCCTAACCTTCTCTTCCTTCTCTGTCAGACAGGATGTAGCAACCAAAGCAGATATACTGGTAATACCTGAAGGTAGTGAGTTCTGAAAGCAGGTCAGGGGCTCCTTTACCTGTGTCCTTCTCAGAAGAAAAACATCACGAGGACCTTCCTTCTAAATCAGAAGCAAAATCTGATAGCATAGCTCCATATAATGGCCTAGTGGGACCAGCAGGTGCCTTGGGAGTCACCTTGGCTTAGGTTTCCACTGACCCACTAGAAAAAAAAATAACTGTGTCCTCCCTTCTCCGTCATGGCCCAACATCCTAGCATAACCTTGGGTGAAAAGAGGTGGAAGGCAAATAAAACTACAGCCTATCAGAGAGGGATGTGTAACCTGAAGAAGCAAAGGACACTAAGACAGAACAAGTAAGTGCTCTAGAAAAATCCAGAAGTGAGGCATTAGCAAAAGCTAGACGACCACTGGGTCATGTCTGGTCAAGAAGCAAAATCATGGGCTGAGTAAGAAGAAATATTAGCCAGTCATGGTGGCAACACACCTTTGATTCCAGAGCTCAAAAGTCAGAGGCAGAAGGGTCTCTAAGTTCAAGGCTAGCCTGATCTACACAGTGAGACCCTGACACCAAAACCAGACAACAAAGAAACAGAAACCAAATACTTGAATCTAGACTAGCTGGATCTGATTCCCCAGCTGGGAGATCCCACAGGAGTTACTTAATTTCTCTCACTCCACTTCCTCATGTGTATAATGGGGCTGGTAATAGCATTACTTCATGGTGTTGAGATGACATCAATTAGTGTATGGAAAACACTTAGAGCATATTAGACACCCATAACACTGTTAGGAAGCTGTCCTTATGATGTTTGGAGGAAATTATATTCCATTGATAAAACAAGCACACTAGCACTAACAAGTTATTTCCCTTAAACAAATTAACAATAGAACAGTCATCCAAAGCCATCCCAACCACCTCCTTCTAATAGAAAGTGGAACCATAGAATGGCCCAAAGACAAATGGAGCACAGATCCAACTCTTGTAGAATGTTATGGAATTCAGTTGGAAAGGGCTATCTCCATAATAACTAACCCTCATGCTCCCTGTCAATCAACTGTAAGAAGATGGCCCCTTCTTCAGGAAAAAGGGGGAGACAAACGTAAAGTCAACCCTGTACACACAAGACAAGTGTTGTGGAAATGAGAAATAGCAGGGCAGTTCATGAGTCTGTCTCCCTGCCCTTCCCTTAGCACAGCATCCGGTATCCTTGTTCTTCATGGTCTCAGTGTTCCCTGAAACCAGGTTATATGGTTAGAGGGAAATCAGTAGGAAGAACTCTGCAAAACCTTCAGAGTTAAGAAAGGACAGCTAACATATAAACAAAATTGTTGCCTGTGTGCTTCTTACGGCCAAAAAAGAAGGAGCAGGGCAAATACTTTTATCAATTATGACTTGATTGAAAATTATACCTCAGATGTTGTGCCAAGTACTTCCCATGCATTATATCACTCAGTTCTCATGACTACCCTGTAATGTTATCATTATTTATCATTATTTGCTCTACTAACAACTGAACCAAGGCTTAGAGAAATCAACTAACCTTGTCAGTGTCTTAGGACGTTTACATTGTAAAGCCAAAGTGTAAAATAATTCATGCCTTCTATATCCCAAATGTCCAGTTATGGAAAGTGGATGACTTCCTGAGTGAATGTGTGTTGTTGATGTGAGCATAGTCATGTCAAGGACTCCAGTGTCTCAGACCCATGGGAATGACAAGGCCTTAGTCCAGGGAAGAATGCTGACAGTTTGTACAAAAAGTATCAACTAGCTTCCTCCTCCTGGATGGCTGAAGCCTAATTGATGCTTCACTACAAAGACCCCAACCCTACCCAGAGTAGCTGACCCTCTTCCTAAATCAGCTGTATATACTAAATGTGTTCAGTGTGTACCCCCACGGGAGTACACAGTGCACCTGCTCCAAGCTTTTCTGTATGTGTGTCTGTCTTTGCTTCATTCTGCCATCACGCTAGTCAGGTCAATCCCAAAGCTGTGTGGGTCACCGCATTGAATGGGCTCCATGATTATTCAATCTCGCCACTGACTTGTAGATTTGTCAAAAACATGAAGGTCCCAGAAATGTTTTCCATGAAATTCTAAGAAAGTGAGTCCTCCACACACAGCTCAATAGTGTTGGCATGTGGTTCAATCCAGAAAGGAATAAGGCAGAACATAGAATATTGAAACATAGACCTGGGGCAGTACTTCAGGCCTTGTCCCCTAAGATCTGGGGATCTCTCTCATGGTTCCATCTTTGCTTCTTAATTAATGAATCTATTTTCAGTTGTAATGAAAAAGGTGTTCCATGCTCCGAATGAAAACTATTAGTTGCAGATGCTTTGCCTCTGGATGCTACTGAACTGCATTCTAGCTCATGTGGCATTTGAAAGGTGGTGTTGCAAGTTGGCTCCTGAGGATCGCTTTGGTTCTTGGACACTAATACAAATAGCACACTGAACTCACCAGCCTGAGAGCAGATACAAGCTATGGTAAACTGAATAAAGGACTGTTCCCTGGAGACCAGAAGCCTGCACTAGTCATGTTGTTTAGCTCATGTAGGTTATTGCTTGAATACTGGCTCAGCTCCACTAGCTACAAAGCGGAGAGCTCTTCATTGGAAATACAAGAAGGGAGGACTCATCTCCAAGCTCCTTCATGACAAGTGCAGGGTTAAAACAGTAGCTTCCAGACATCCCATGTTTCTAACACAACTTGCGGTTTCATCAACAGTTGTGGCTTTTCAGAGCTACAGAGGACTTGCTGGTTCAGTCTTATCTCACAATTAAAAGGACACAGGATAATAGAATGGGATAGTCCCAGAATCTCTTTAAGAAAGGTACAAATTGGGT